ATAGAGATAAAAAACAACGGTTATTTACAGCATACACAGACATTTTAGACAATTGTGTGGTTCCAAACTTATGATAACATTTTAAGGAAGGACCTTTTCTCTTCCAGCATGACTGTCCCCCTCTACAGAAACCAGCTCCATGAAGACATGGTTTGATATGCATGATGTGAAGGAACTTGAGTGATCTCTACATATCCCAGATGTCCATCTAACTGAATACCTCTGAGATGAACCTAACCTCTTTTGGCTGAATGAACACAAATTCTAACAGACATATTACAAAATCTTGTGGAAAGCCTTCCTGGACCAGTGGAGGTTATTATAGACACAAAGGGGAACAGCTACATATTAATGCCCATGATTCTAAAATATATTATCCAAAAAATCCATATAGGTGGTAAGGTTAGATGTCCGCAAACTTTTGGCCATTTGAGGCTCAAAGTGTTACTGAACCCACAACAGTACGATCAGTCTGTATATGCAGTAAAGCATGCTTGTTATACTCATCATGGAACCTAGGGGGTTAATCCTCTGCATTGTGTAAAAAGGATGTTTGATCCTGTCTTCTTTGATTCCCCCTTCTTCTACTGTCCCCAATCCATCTGCTGATAGAACAGAGCCTTGGGGGCAAGCTGCACATGCTCAGTTTGGTGTGTATTGCATGAGATTTTTTTTTTCTCTTAGGAGAGTGCATGTGATAAGCACAGGGCCAATCAGCGCTGTCCAGACAGAGGGTCAGGGGTTATGCAGCCTCATAAGACAATCGGGGAGAATGAAAATTTCTCCTACAAGCTTTAACCAGTACCCTGCCGGACACTGATAGAAGTCACAAGACTGCTATATACAGCTGATGCGAAAAGGTATTTAGCAGTTTATATTTACTAATAAAATTTAATTTCCATGTTCTGTGTACTGTGGGAGACCAGATATAGTGAATGCAGGGTCCTGGGTTTAGCAACACTTTAATTCATAAGGCTAATACAGAATAAAGATACTTTTCAGTAAAATTGAAAGAGATTTGAAAATTACAGTCAAATGCTTTTTGTTGTGTTACATTATTTGATTTATTATTATTTCTCTGTGACCATAACTTGTTTATCATTGCTCTGTGTCTTTAAGCTGTCTTCTCCTGCCTAGACTGAGCTTTTCTCTCACCGTACTTTTTTATATCCCTCCCCCCTGCCTCTCTCTGGTAGTCATTCCACTGTATCCTGTCTTCCTGAATGCATTTTTCCATGAGGCTTACAACGTTAACGTTTTTCTACCTATGATTACCGTCCTTTAAACGGAACATTCAAAAGGGTTTCCTCAACATGTGAGTTTCATTGAGTTAAACTGGCTGAACCGATGCAAGAGATAAATTCAACACCACGTGGTATAGCTGTATACATCGCTGGAGATAAAGTTTATGGTCTCGTAGTTGAGTCAGAAAAGTAGCAAAATGGAGTTACAGCCTAATTACAAGATTCCTGGATGACAGTGCTGATACAGACAAGATTTATTTGCTCTCATTGCAAAGTAAGAATACGGCAGGAGCACGTCTAAGCTTCCATAACTAAGCCCAGGCACAACTTTCCCGCTTGTTTATCTCACAGTCATTATCTGCTTGTGTCAACATGAGTTACAAGCGCTCCATATGTGAAGAGATGTCACACACAGCAGACCAAGAATCTGATCCAACTATGTTACCCAAACGCTCAGTTAAACCAACTTGGAAAATGATGTAAAATGATGAAGCTTTTAGAACTGAGCTGACAACTAGCCTGAAGCTATTATGGGAAAATGTTGTTACTCAATCTAACACACTGTCTGCTGAACAGGAGGTACGGCCACTAGAGGGCATCACCCAACAACTTTCTGTCTCATATGAGCTTTATTAGTTTACCAGCAACATGTTCAATAATGTTTTACAAAGTATAAACAAGGAAGATTCGTTACATGAATTAAATAGCTTCCAGGTTCTTAATCTAGAAAGAGACAGTTTTTATCCAGCAAACCAAATCAAAAGCAGAAGCAAAGATAAAGCTGCTACAAGACACTGCATCTCACCGATCTGTTTCTACAAGATATTCTAAAAAGTCCTCTAAATCCCATAGTTCAAGATGCTCTACACTCAATGAGCGAATTATTAGTGCCGCACTGAAGTGTAAGCCAGCAAGGTGCCGGCTGCATATGCAAAAAGAGAGCAGAGTTAGTAACTCAGACAGCAGAGTTGGAAATTCAGTCAGCATGCCAAAGGGCAGAGTTGGAAACTCAGTCACCACACCAAAGAGCAGTAATAGAAATCTTAAACGAACAGTGTAAACATGATACAGCTATGGCAGAACTAAGGGTTCTAGAACAAGCTATCAGTGCAGATGGAGGTGCAGGAGAAAAAGACAGCATTAACTTAAACATAGCGGATATGGAAGATCCCCTCAAAACGCACTACAGACTATGTTATAAGCCACTGCGGTGGACACTCTATCGTCTCCAATGCTCCTAACATAGAGACTTCTTTTCAACGGCAAGTTTAAAGAGGTTCCAGAAACTTCCTGCATGCAAAATCGCTCCAACACCTTTCCTGCCTATCTACCTAACCTTCCTTCATACGTCACAGAGCATCAGAGCAAGCTGCAAGCAAGTCATCAATCTCCTGTCATCAGTACAGCCTCAAATAAATGTACCATTGGAGCAACTGACTTCAAGCAAGAAACTCGCCTGAATGCATCTGCTGCACTATATTTCCCTGTGTCTTATAACAGCTTTGTCAAAGATAGCACAATCAGCACCTTTCAGCCAACAACATCTTGCATAAAGTCGGAGACAACAGAGATAGCAGAGTTTATGAGGTACATACTTTGCAGAGAGCTCACAAAAACTGGTCTTACAAGTTTTGATTACCAATCTGAAAACTACAGAAGTTGGAGATGTGCTTTCAGAACTGCAATCAATGATCTTGGTATTACAGCTGTTGAAAAATTGGATCTGCTGATCAGATGGCTTGGTCCTCTATCTGCTGCATGTGTTAAGCCATTAAGATCAGTTTTCATGCAAAATCCTACAGCAGGCCTCACAGCTGCATGGGATCGATTAGAGCAAAATTATGGCTGTCCAGAAGCTATAGAAAATGCTCTGTTCATGCTTCTGGAAACTTTTCCAAAAATATCTGGTAAGGACAAGGAGTTCCAGAGACTGAGTGACTTTCTCCTGAAGCTTCAGCTAGCCAAGGCAGACCCAAAACTACCTGGACTCAGTTACCTGGACACTGCCAGAGGGGTAAACCCTATCGTCTCCAAGCTCCCGTATGGCTTGCAAGAAAAATGGTCCGCACTAGGGTCATCATACAAAAAACAGAACAATGTTTCCTTTCTCTCCATTCTCTTTCTTCTGCGAATTCATCAGGAACATTACAGAGACCAAGAATGACCCAAGTTTTTCCTATGGTGAGTACAGTCTCTCTTCATCCTTTCCTAAGAGTACCAGTCTTCAGGGCAACTATAGGAACCATAGAGGCCCAGTATCTGTGAAATAGAATGACATCCTCCCCACTCCTACCACAGTTGTGGCTGCAAATAAACAGAGTAGGAAGATTGAAAACCCTAACCGAGAATGTCCCATTCACAAGAAGCCACACACCCCCTCAAAAATGCTTTAGGAAAAGGCCTCTTGAAGAGCGTAAGGAGTTTTTAAAGACATTCGGGGTATGTTCCAAGTGTTGTGCTTCTACCAAACATTTTGCTAAGGACTGTATTATGTCCATCAAGTGCATAGAGTGTGGCTCAGAAGAACATGTGCAAGCCCTCCATCCACTTGAGCCCACCTCTACACAACCTGTTAACTCTCCTCCAAGGTCAAGGCAAGGTGGGGAGAATACAGATCAAGTTCCTGATTCCACCATAATTTCTTCATCCTGCACTGAAGTTTGTGGGGAAGACCGCTGTGATAAGTTGTGTACTAAGATATGTCTGATGAACATATACCACGAAAGTCAACCAGAAAAGACTCTGTATATGTAAAAGTATATGCAATCTTAGATGATCAGAGCAATAGATCACCTGCAAGATCTGAACTGTTTGATCTATTTAAAATAAAGGGTGAAGCTCATCTTTACACTTGGAGTACTTTTAATGGAACTACAGATGTTTTTGGAAGAAGGGCTCGTGAACTCATGGTATCTCCTCTCAAAGGTAACCTGCAATTACTCTTACCTACACTTGTTGATTGCAACCAGATACCTGCTAACAGGGAAGAAATCCCTACACCAGCTGCTGCCTTCCATCACCCTCACCTGAAGGTAATAGCAGGTGAGATACCACCGCTTGACAAAAGATACTCAGATCTTTCTTCTGTTAGGAAGAGACATTCTAAGGGTTCACAAGGTACACAGACAAGTCAGTGGATGCCCCATTTGCCCAGCGCACAGATCTAGGTTGGGTCATCGTAGGCAACGTCACTATAGGCAAAATGAAGAGACCTACCAATGTTTCAGCATTAAAGTCAAATATTCTGCCAAATGGCTGAAACACTTACTTTGAGCCATGCACAATCACTACTGGGTGAAAGAGAAGATAGCCAGCTGCAAATGGTGACATAGTGTCTCAGGTAACACAAGCCCTTTCTCTCCCCATGACGATGACCTCGGCTCTACAGTGTTTAATACAACCAGTGATGATGATATACTGGCTCCTTCAATGGAAGACAAAGAATTTATCAGAGTAATGGACAATGAGTTCTTTCAAGATGACTTCAATAACTGGGTAGCACCCCTAGAGATTGCCCAATAACTTGCAGCAGGCCATCAGTAGATTCTCTTCCTTAACCACCTTTCGCCCGCCCTATAGTACAATGACGGGTGCAAGGTGGGTTTTCTCGTTTTGATAGGACGTCATATGACGTCCTACCATTCTCACTGCGCATGTGCAGCTCAGGGAGCGCGCAGCGCAGCGATCGCTGGTGCGCTGTGTCCCTCGGACACAGCGGATCACGGAAAGAGCCGAAGATGTCGGCTCGGTCATGTGATCAGCTGTGTCCAATCACAGGTGATCACATGTAAACATGGAAATGCCGGTTATCGGCATTTCTCTCCTCTTGAGCTGTCAGGCTGACAGCTCGAGAGAAGAGAGCAGGTAATCAGCTTTCCGCGGAGGGGACATGTACACTGATCATCAGGGCACTGATGATCAGTGTGCCCTGATGATCAGTGTGGCCCCAGAAGTGCCACCTGTCAGTGCTCATCAGTGCCACGTGCCAGTGCCCATCAGTGCCACGTGCCAGTGCCCATCAGTGCCACATCAATGCCACATATCAGTGCATACCAGTGCACATCAATGCCACATATCAGTGCCCATCTGAGCTGCCTTTCAATGTCACCCATCAGTGTTAGTCAGTGCCACCTATCAATGCCAATCAGTGCCACCTATCAGTGCTGCCAATCAGTGCCACCTATCAGTGCCAGTCAGTGTCGCCTATCAGTGTGCATCATTGCCAATCATGCCAGTCAGTGCCGCCTAACAGTGCCAGTCAGTGCCGCCTATCAGTGCCAGTCAGTGCCGTCTATCAGTGCTGCCTATCAGTGCCATATATCAGTGTCATGTATCAGTGTCATGTATTAGTGCTGCCTTTCAGTGCCCATCAGTGATCCCGGTCAATGCCCATCAGTGCAACCTACCAGTGCCTCCTCATCAGTGCCCATCAGTGCCACCTATCAGTGTCCATCAGTGCAGCCTATCAGTGCCCATCACTGCAGCCTCATTAGCGCACATCAGTGAAGGAGAAAAATCACTTTTTTACAAAATTGTATAACAAAAACTAAGAAAAAACAGTTTTTTTTCAAAATTGTCAGTGGTTTTTGGTTTGTTTAAGAAAAAATAAAAATCCCAGAGATGAATAAATACCACCAAAAGAAAGCTCTATCTGTCTTAAAAAAATTATCAAAATTTCATATGGGTACAATGTTGCATGACCGCACAATTGTCATTCAAAGTGTGACAGCGCTGAAAGCTGGAAATTGGCCTGGGCAGGAAGGGGGTATAAGTGCCCTGTAGGCTAGTAGTTAAAGTACAACTTAAGCAGAAAACCAGAGATGCAAAGGCACTTTGTGGACTTTATTATTTGACAGAGATCATGCAGAGCCTGCATCCCCACTAATGGAGGGAGAAGAATGCTGGTACCTTCATTCCTTTGGCGTATATCACCCACGCAAACCAGACCAAATCACAGTTGTCTTTGGTTCCAGAGCTCAGCATGAAGGTGTTTCTCTTAACAACAAGCTCCTTACTGGACCCAACTTGAACAACAGTCTAATAGGAGTCCTGATCCGCTTCAGACAAGAGTCCATAGCAGTAATGGCTGACATTCAAAAAATGTTTTACTGCATCATTGTCAAAGAAGACAACAGAGACTACCTCAGGTTTCGATGGCACAAAGACAATGACATCAACAAGGAAGTGATAGAATATCGAATGAAGGTACATGTCTTCGGTAACAGTCCTTCCCCTGCAGTCCCAACTTATGGACTATGGAGAACGGCTCAGGCTGGAGAAAAGGAATATGGATCTGATGCCTGACAATTTGTTAAAAGAAACTTCCATGTTGACGACGCACTCAAATCCTTTGCATCTGCTAAAGAAGCAATCAATCTTCTCACCAGAACAAAGGAAATGCTGTCTGTAGAAAACCTTAGACTTCACAAGAATATATCTAACAGCCAGGAACTTATGAATGCTTTTCCGACTGAGGACTATGCCACTAGTCTATAAAACCTTGATTTCGGTACAGATGTGCTTCCCATACAACGAAGTTTGGGTTACCTGTGGAACATCAAACAAGACAGATTCACCTTCCAAGTGTCACCTTGTAACAAACCCATCACTAAGAGAGGAGTCTTGTCCGTGGTGAACAGCATCTATGATCCACTGGATTTCATTGCTCCAGTTACCATGCAAGGTAAGATTCTGCTAAGACAGTTATCTACTGAGAACATAGAATGGGATACTCCTTTACCTAGTGAGAAAAAACACAAATGGGAAAGGTGGAGGTTTTTTTGAGATCATTAGAAAAACTTCATATTTCACGTTGCTATGTTCCAATTTCCATTTCAACTGCTGACCATAGAGAGATTCATATTTTCTCTGAATGCATCAGTTGAAGCTATTGCTGCAGTAGCCTATATATAGACCTCAGGAATTAATGGAGAATCACACTGTAGTTTTGTTCTAGGCAAGGCAAAACTCACTCCCAAACCTGAACATACCATTCCAAGACTTGAACTCTGTGTGGCTGTGCTAGCAGTAGAAATCGCTGAAGTCATACAAAGTGACTTCATTCTAGAACACTAGAATTGATTCTTTCATCTTTTATACAGACAGTAAGGTGGTACTTGGTTATATATACAACCAAACAAAACAGTTTTACATGTATGTCAGCAACAGGGTAGAACATATACAGAGGTTATCTCTACCAAGTCAATGGCATTACATTCCCACTGAACTCAACTCAGCTGACTGTGGGACCAGAGCCGTGTCATAAGCAGCTCTTCAGAACAGCTTATGGCTTTTGCCTCCAAGGTTTTTGTGTGAGAACTCCTACTTACTCCTTACTGACAACACCTATGGACTAGTAAGTCCTGAAGATGATAAGGAAATAAGAACTGTGAACATCTCACTCCACACTTCTGTGAGTACAAAACAGAAACTGCAGTCACACCGTTTTGAGCATTTTTTTACCTGGTCATCTACTGTAAGAGCTATTGTTTGCCTAATTCACATTGCTTGTTGCTTTGCGAAGAACTCTACATCAGAGTGTCAAGGCTGGCACAATTGTTCCCCGATGCCCCACAGCAGCAGATACTGCACGCACAGAAAAGGTAATTACCCATTGTGTGCAACAAGAGGTGTATCAGGAGGAATTTGAGAGAATTAGAAATGGAACTGAATTGTCCAAAAACAGTTCACTCTTCAATCCAAAACCTGTAGTTGATGCCAATCAGCTGCTGAGAGTTGGTGGTCATACAGGGAAATCTGACCTATGCAGCAAAGAACAGAATCCTATAATAATCATACTATGTCAACATTATATTGCTACTCCTCTGGTTCGTCACCACCATGAACGGGTGCAACACCAAGGTCGTCCGAAGTGGCAAACATCTAAGCCTAATCTCAAGGTTGGAGATCTTATTCTCCTAATGGACAAGAAAGTTTGTCAGAATAAATGGCCTATGGGTCTTATTACTAAAGTTATGCCCAGTGATGATGACAACGTCCAGAAGAGGTCGAGGTAACCAAGGGAGGGTCAACACGAACATTGCTCAACCAATTACAGAGTTAGTACTCCTTTTGCCAGGTGACTGACTTATGCAACCACTCTGTCATGCTATTGCACGGCGGGGAGTACATTATTGCTAACCATGGGTTTTTTACTTGGAACTTGTATTCTCTGAAGATGTCCCATGTTGGATTACTACGTGTTCTGCCATGTAGTTGAACTTATGTTTATGTTTGCTTGTTGCATGTTTCTTGTTACAGGGTTTAAGACATTCATCAGAATTGGACTTATAGAAAATATATATTTTGAAGTTATGTAAAGTACAGATTTCAGATGGGGAGTGCTGTATTATTCTATTTGATTTATTATTATTTCTCTGTGACCATCACTTGTTTATCATTGCTCTGTGTCTTTAAGCTGTCTTCTCCTGCCTAAGCTGAGCTCTTTCTCTCACCGTACTTGTGTATATCCCTCCCCCCTGCCTCTCTCTGGTAGTCATTCCACTGTATCCTGTCTTTCTGAATGCATCTTTCCATGAGGCTTACAACATTAACAGTTTTCTGCCTATGATTATCCTCCATTAAACGGAACATTCAAATGGGTTTCCTCATCTGACTTCCTCAACATGTGAGTTTATTCATTGAATTAAACTGTCTGACCCAATGCAAGAGATATATTCAACACCACGTCGTATAGCTGTATACATCACTGGAGATAAAGTTTATGGTCTCATAATTGAGTCAGAACAGCTTTCGTTATAGGCAAGGACAATAAGGCTGCTTACTTTTCAGTACTGACTAACATTAACCATTAGGCCAATTACTATTAATACTACTTAATACTTATTGATGATTATTCAACATGTAAGAAAAGTTATCATATGTTCAGTATTACCTCAATCATTTTAATGGACCTCGCACATTATATGAAGCACTAGGGGGCAATTTTAAAGAGAATACTTTTTTCATAAATAAATTCCCCAAAAGCTCAAGTCTTTAGCCTTTATCTGATTGATGTATTCTTTGGAACTAAAATTTCATAGTTTCCATCAAATTTTCTTTCGAAGTTTAATAAATAAGATGACTCATTAAATATAATGATTTTAACAGAAAGAAAACTAAAAGACCTTTGGGAAAGCATGGTCATTGAAGTACATAAAATGGAGACTTCAAAACACAGATTCGGCTTAAGGAAAAACTTTGAATCAATATGAAAAATTCACTATAAACTGTGATTTTTTTTTTGGAAAACAACTTCTCCAGGCTTCATAAACGTGCCCCTGTGTCTATGGGTGACTTCAGATGAGGACAGAATGCCATTCCCAAGACAGGGCATTGGAATAGGTGACCCCAATATAAGCACAAGATATAGGCATGCTCACACACCATGAGTGTGCATGCTAAAGAACTTATCTGTTTTAAGCAATGTTTAGCATTCAGACTGATCTTATCACTGTTTATAACTACAGCATAGATAAGGTGCTGGTATCTGCAAAAATTTGGATTTTTCGGTTACTATGTACTATGCTCTATGCTGATTAACCGTCATGAACTGTTTTACAGCCTTATTCGATAACCAGCTGTTTGTGCAGTCTAAACACATACAGTAGATCATACCTGAAACCCCTCTCTCACAAAGCCTCACACTCCTTTCACATATTAAGAAAGACAAAAAAAAGTATTTTGATCTCACACCTTACTCTCACATGATGTGTGCAGAAGTAGCTCCCAAAAAACTTAAAGTCGTTGTAAACACTTACATATTCCCAGTGAAGTGACTGGCCTCAGGTGATACACAGAGATTAAACAAATCCTTATTGCACAAGTTGTACCTGTTTATCTTCAGTATTATCTTCTCTACATCTGTTCAAAGTGCAGAATTTATACAGCTTGTCTGAGATTTCAGAAAGCAGAGGGCGGGAAGCTGAAATTACACTCTGCAGAGCTTAGTGAGGAGATCTCTGAGAGCTGATTGGAGGGAAGGGACACACCCCCTTTTACTCAGTACACAGGAACAGAGGTGAAGTTGAGGTCAATCACAGGCTGTGTGCTGGAGCTCCCCCTTCCTCACCTTTTTTCTCTTGGTGTCAGGAACATTTGTTGAAAGTGATTCATGCTGATAGCAGAGGAACAAGGCAACATACGAAATTACACTTAGTACT